TCCCCCCCCCCACCACCCGCCCACCGTGATGGGGAAGCCGTAGATGAGCATGAGGGAGGACAGGTCGCCGCCCGGCAGCAGGTTGAAGAAGGCGCCAAAGCCGTAGACCATGAGGGAGAGGCCGATGGGGGACAGGATGGAGCCAAAGGAGACCTGCGCGGGGTGCGGGGAGGAAGGAAGAGAGGAAAAGTGGGTGGGTGGGTGGGAGGTGGGTTACAAAAGGAGTTGCTGTTGTTGTCTGCGTGTGTCTGAGTGTTGCAGAAGAAAGTGTGTGTGTGTGTGTGTGTGTGTGTGTGTGTGTGTGTGTGTGTGTGTGTGTGTGTGGCATACATGCACCGCATGGCGCTGCTTGGGGAGCTCCGCGGCGGGTGGCATGGCGTGGCATGGGTCCGCGTGCAGTGAGGCCGGGTGCGCGAGGGAAGCCGGCAGCAGCAGGCGGCGGCGGGCGGCGGCGGGGTGAATGTGGGGCCTCTGTGCCCGGGACGCCCAGGCGGTCCTGCGCGGCCTCCTCCAGCCAGCACCCACCTGCTCAATGCGGAACGACTTCTCTTCGACGTAGTTGCTGCCGGCCTGGGCCCGCGACGCGACGCCGCCTCGCTGCCGCCGCCGTGCCGCCGCCAGCCGCGGGCCGCCGAGCCTGCACCAGCCACGCGGGCCGGCCAGCCAGCAGAAGGGTCGGTGGGGGCTGGGAGGCGGCCCGGCGCAGGCAATGCGCGGTCCTGGCCTCCCAACAAGCAGCAGAGGCGTGGGTGTGGGCAGGCGCACCTGGGCGCGGTTGCTGCTGTGAAGGGCTGCACCGCCACCCACTGCCTGGTCTGCGCCAGCAGATTGGGGCTGGGCTGAAGCAGCGCTGCACGAGACATGGTGCACGCCATGTTTCTCCGCTACGCGCGATCGAACCACTGGGCAAGCAAAGGCGAGGCGCGTTAGGCGATGGCGCAGTCGCAAGGTGGATCGAAAGCGGCGATGCATCGCATTGGCGGCCTTCGCATGCTGCCGGCGCTGAGGCGGGCTGCCGCTGCCGCCTGTCGGCGACACCACTCGCGACAGCCAAGGCTGATGGGCATGTGCCTCGCCAGATAGACCCGCCTAAGTTCGCGGCATGCTATTGAGGTTTACAAACAGTACAGGAGGAGAGACGCAGAGAGAAGAGCGTGCCGGCATACGTGCTGGCGGTGAGGGGCAGTGCGGGTCAGGTTTGGCGTCCGCACTTTGCACAGTGCGGCGGGTCACGCGTAATCGAGGGAGATAGCTGGGCGAGCGTACAATAGAGCGTACAGAGGTTGGCTCAATCAGAAAGGGGGCGAAGCGGGTGGTGCTCAGGAGGGGCCACCACAAGGAAACAGGTACTTAGCGTCAAAACAAAGTGCTGGGCAGTGCGGTTAGTGGTCGGTTGATGAAACATGGCCTAGGGAGACGAGGTGGCGAGGGTGGCTTATTTGGGGGTGCAATGACTAGAGCGAGTATCAGTGAATGATGGGTGTGGGAGGAGCTTTCTCGGGGACAAAAACAGCAGAGGGTGTGATGGGGGGCCATCACGGCTGCCTGCCGGCCACCAGGCGTCAAGAGCGGGCAGCTCTAGGTCTGGGCCAGCCGGCATCAGCCATCGCCGGGGCGTCCAGGACGCCGCACGGATGGGCCGCTGCCAGGCTTCCCGGTACGCCCATGCGTGACCGGCCTGCAGCGTAAGGCACAGCAATGCTGCAAGGCGCTCAGCGTACGTGCAATAAGAGGTGTGGCAGGTGGTGCGCTGGCGCATGCGTAAGCGCGCATGGCGAGGCGAGGCTGCTGCCGGCGGCTGAAGTCACCTTCGAAACCGCTTGCGGGGAGCATGGCCCGGCCTGCAGGGAGCACGGCAGCGGTACGCGGCAGCGGTTAGCGGCAGCAGGCGAAGCACCAGGGGCAAGCGAGGACGCCAGGCGCTTCGCCGCCGGCCCAGCGCCGGCGCGACTCACGAGGCAGGCGTGCCGCCGGTGCTATTATTGCCGCTGCCGCCTCCCGTGCCTGAGACGATGAACCGACACGCTTCGCCCGCGGCATAGGGCTCTGAGAGGACGACTGTGGCGAGGGCAGGCCCGGCGCAGGCATTGGAGGTGTGTGAAGCAAGACACAGCAGCTGGCAAGGCAGCGGAGTGGAGGAAAGCAACCTGCGGGCCGAGCGGCTGAAACTGCGCTGCCCTGCGCCCTGCCCGGAGCCATGTGGGGCGGTGCAATGGGCAGGCAGAGGCGGCGGATGTGCCCTCGGAAGAGGCGCTCACCTGCGCCAGAATACCAAGCTCGGTCTTCTGCCGCGACGCTCAGCGCTAGCGGCTGCACGTCGCTGGCAGCAGGCGCAAACAAGCGGCAGGCGCCGTCGCGGGCGCGGAAGCTCCAGCGCTGGCAGCGGTTGGGGGCGGAGCTCTGCGGCCAGGCGAGGACGGGCAAGGGGCGTGAGCGATGGAGCCGGCGACCGCCTTGCAGCTGCGCCCTGCCGGCTATGCACTGCACAGCAGGCATGTCACTGGCTGCCGCTGCCAGAGGCCACACAGCCAGCAGTCCTTTTGAAGGGGGGCTGCGATTGGCTCACCGCTGCATCGTTCTGCACATGACACAGCCGGCAGCAGGCGCAGTGCTCCTGGCGGGTCTGCCCCGGCGCCTCGGCTGCGTCTGGAAGGATGAAGGGCCACTGCGCCGCCCCGGGCGCGTCGCCTATGTCAAGCCGCGCCCACGGCTTGCCGCCTACTGTCAGAATGATGGAGCCGGCATGCAGCTCCGCGGGAGCGAGCTGCGCCCCCCCCGGCTGCTCCTCTTCCTGCACCATCACCAGCGGCGGCGGCGGCGGCAGCCCTGGTCGGAGGAGGCGACGGCAGCGGGGTGTGGCTGGACGATGGAAGCAGATGCGGGCAGCTCGCTTGCGGGAGGCCGTGCGTGCAGTTATGCGTGCCCGGAAGGCACGTGGCATGCTGAATGGTAGCGGCCCCTTCTCATCGATGCCGCCCTCTAGGACATTTCCCAAGCTTCAAAATCGCCGCTACCCTCCGCCCCCGAGCACAGCCTGCCACCAGCCGCACCTGCTCCTTCCAGAGCCCAAAGGTCTTGAGCTGGCAGAGGGGCCTGGTGGGCAGCAGCTCGCCAGTGGCCTGGGAGCTACGTCGGGAGCTGCTCGCGGCGGCGGTGGCGGCGCCGGTCAAGGCGCGCGCCTCTGCCTGCCCTGCAGCAGCATTACATGCGGCAAGCGGGTGGCCGTCACTATCCCTCGCCATGGACAGCCAGCGGTCGCCGGGAGCACCCCCCGGCCTTGGCATGGCAGCTGGAGGCGCAGCTCCTGGGTGACAAGGGGCGCGCAGATCCCTCCAAACCGCGAGGGACGCTGCCCTGGCGCGCTCACGCACCCGCTAGGAGCGCTAGCAAGGTCAGAGTCGCTCGCAGCCATGGCTTGGAGCGAGCTTGCGCCGGCTGGCTGCTGCTGAGCAGCATCAGGATGACATGTGGGTGGGAGCGTCGGCTGCAAAGGGATGTGGCCAAAATTCTCAGTCCCGGTACGCCCACCTGCGCGACTTCCGACTCCTGTGTCGCCTTCTCGATTTTGTGGCATGCCTCTTTTCGGCGCAGGGCCTCTTTGGGGCATGAGGGAGGCGATTGGAGGACGGGGGCTGGCCAGCGCCACGGTTGCAGGCCTGCCGGCGGGGCAGGGGCGGGCGGCAGGCGTCTCTCGTGGGCGGCGGCAAGGTGTGTCCAGAGCCCACCACTTTCAGCCGGCCATCAGTCCAGTCATTTGGGGCCAGCACCAACATAATCCACTTCCATGGCAGCACCACACTTCATGGCCACTCGTCAACCTGCAACCCCCGGCCATGATGGTCGGGGACAGAGCAGGGAGCGGCGACGAAGCGGGGGGGGAGCAGCGGCGGCGTGCAGCGCTGCGGTGTGTGGTGGCAGAGGTCGGCTGCCAGCTGCTCTGCTGGGCATCTCCCAAGTGCACTCGGGGCAGCTACAGCGAGCGGGTGCATAGAAACTGGCCACTTTCCTGACCCTCGCTGTTCAGTTGCCCAGCAGAGGAGGCGCCTCGAGCGTACACGCTTGCGGGTCGGCGGCGGGGAAGTGGTCCGAGGGCCGCCGCCGCCCACACCGCAAGCGGTGCATCTGTGCCGTGCTGGCAGCGCCCGCCCGCCCTGCTGCCTGCTGGAGCTGCCTGCCGCTTCAGGCAGCTGACACGAGAGCACAGGTAGCGGGGCTGCTGCACCGCGGCCAGCCATGCCCTGGCCGCCCCCAGCAGGCCCAGGGTTGTGGCAAGGGCGCAGCTGCATGTCAAGGTGTGGCGGAGGAGTGCCCTGGCTGCTGTGGACCTGGCTCTTCTCCCATACCACTTTCTACTCCACGTGTGTCTTCTCCAAAGCAGCTCCAGTTTCCTGGCCCCTGAGCGGCAGCAGCTAGCTGCCTGGATCTGCCTCTGCTGGGGCTAGGGAAGCACAGCCATGGCCTCGGGCCCCTGCTCGCTGCCGGAGCGCGTGTGCTGCGGCAGCTGGAGGACTCGCTGGGCCCCCAGCGAGGAGCTGAAGCGCCACTACCCGCCGCGCCACTCAGGCACGCCACGGCGGGGCCGCCCTGGCCGCCGCCGCCGCCCTGGCCGCCACCGGCGTCCGACCACCTTGAGCCTTTGCCCCTGCCCTGCTGCTGCTGCAGACTATCGGGACAGCGCGCCTGAGCCCCTGGCCAATGTGTTTGAGCTGTACCAGCCGGTGGTGCAGGAGGGGCGGTGGACGGAGGGGCTGATCGAGATGTGGTGGGTGGCAGCCGCTGCTGCGGCCCCGGGCCACACTTTGACGCCTCAGGCAGGGAGAGCCTGCTGGGCTGGCCACCTGGCCGCTCTTCTGCACCTGCTGCCAGTGGCTATGGAAGACGAGTGGCTGTGATCCGTGGGGTGCTGCTTTCCAGCGGCCGAGCAGCCTCCCTGCCGCTCCAATCGCCGATTGCTCGTGTGCGCACTCGACGCCGCACCTCAGGCTCGCCCGCCGCATGCCCCCGCCTGCCAGGTTCTTCAAGCACAAGCCCGTGAAGCACAGCGTGCACATCCCCTGCTGGGACAGCTTCAAGTGGAACCCGCTCAAGTGGCGGGGGCCCTGCTTCGGGCGGTGAGGCTGCGGCCCGCTTGCAGGGCGGCGCCTTGCCAGCGGCGGCAGCCCTTAGCGACCTGGCCTCAGCTGCCCTGGGGGCTAACAAACCATCGTGCCTTTGCTTTCCTCCTCTTTTCTTGGCAGGACTCTGGAGGAATGCTACTGGACTGGGCTGCGCCAGACGCGCTGGGCCCGCGCCGTGTACGCCGCAAACCTGGGTGCGCGGGTCGTGCGGTGGGGGTCTCCCCGTGCCATCCGGCAAGCCTACCGGGCGTCCCCTACCACCAGCGCTGAGTCCAGGCAGCTGCTCAGCAGGCTCCGCTTTCTGCCGTGCACCGCAGGGCGCGAGTATGTGATGCCGGTGCGCAACATCGGGCGGCACGGCTACAAGAGCGACATCAAGGCGCTGTGTGAGTGACGCGCTGCTACGGCGGCGGCACAGGCTGCTTGCCAAGCACAGCGGTCGCCGCTGCCTGCCTGCGTCTAACCGATAATGGAGCGGCAACGGCTGCCATCGTGCCCGTCCCTGTGCGCCTTGCTGAACTGCCGAGCTGTACTGCCCACGTGTACCGCAGGCTGGATGTACTGGATCATGTCCTGCATCTTCAGCTGCGGCATCGGCCAGGCCGCCACCTGCTGCGGTGCGCCTGGCCTCCCAGCCTGGCTTGGCATCATGATGATGCCTGCCGGGGGCGCAGCGTGTGGCGCGTGGCATCGCACTGATGCGCATGCACACCCAGCAGGCGCTCTATCGCGCGAGCCCTCTGTCTGCCGACCACCGCCGCTGTCGCTGGCCCTCCCCTGGCCCTTGTGCTGCACCACACCGCAGGCATGAACATGATCATCAACTTTGGGGCGTGGTACAGCTGCCATGCCCGGGAGCGGCTGCGCAGGTGAGACGGCGGCAGCCGGAGCGGCTGGGGCAGTCGGCGAGGGCTGGCGGAGCCACCAGAGTCTCTGGCTGCAGCCCCTGCTGCGGCGCCCCCGCGCCGAGCTTCCCGCGTTGGCTGCGCCGCCTGCGCTGCAGGCGCTACAATCTGCCGCCCACCTTCTGCCTGCCGCCGGGCATCGATGACTGCCTGGTGCGGGGGCAGCCTGCTGCCGGCTGCCTGCTCATGCCTGAACATGTGCGGCACGCCACCCTGAGCACCCTCCTCCTCTTCTCCCGTTCTTTCCGCCGCTGACTGGCAGCTGCAAACACAAAAGCTGGCAGCCCTGCACCCCCTGGGGCTTCCCTGCTGAAGCTGCCCCGCAGCTGCCGCCCCTCCCTGCAGGTCCACTTCTTCTGCTTCTACTGCGCCAGCCACCAGGCTGGTTCCGCGCTGAAGCTGCTGCTCCGCGCTGCGTCACGCGGCTGCCCTGGAGCATGCCGCCATTGCCTCTGGCTGATGCTCGCCAGCTGCACTCCCCGTTACCATCATTGCCGTGCCTCAGCAGCACACCCACTGAGCAGGAGCCGGCCTTTGCACATGTGCTCCTGCTCTGGCACCACCGCAGGAGCTGCGAGAGCTTGCGGTGCGAGGCGTGGACGGCCCCGGCATGCACATCCTGGATGTGCTGCCCAACTCTTTCAAGACCGCCGAAGGTGGGCGCGCCGGCGCAGCCGCGCTGCCGCGCTGCATGCGCGCGGGATGCGGCAATGCCTGCCCCTCTCCTCGTGCTCTTTTGTGCGGCATCAGCAAAGCGCGCGCTTGGCGGTCTTGGCGGTCCACCGATATATCCGTGCCCTGCAGGCATCGAGGAGGCCAAGGCGGGGCGCAGGAAGGTGCTGGAGCGCATGCTGAAGCGCCCACCCAAGGTAGGGTGTACCGCTCCGCTGCATGGTACCGCGCCGTACCGCCGCAATGCCAGCGCCCTGCAAGTGATGCCTACCCTGGGCTGCGGCTTGAATCAGTCGCACATGCCGGCTCATGCTTGCTTGCTAGAGAGTGTTTACAGTCTGTCTGTTAGAAGAGCAAGCTTGCAGCACACACGTGTGATGTCGGCAAGGTTGCCTGCCCGCCTGCCTGCGCCGCCCACGAGCAGATGTTCCGAGCCAGGCCGGCACCAGAGGGCGCCCTGCACCTCAAGGCCGCGGAGATGGCGGCGGCGCTGGCGGAAAGGAGCCCGCTGGAGGAGGAGGAGGAGGAGGATGGCGGCAGCCTGGTGCCTCCCCAGCCCGCTCACATGAGCCAGGTCAGCCTCCCAGTGGGTCCCGCGCCGGCTGCTCGTGCAGGGCCGGCCTGCAGCGCTGCCGGCACCAGCCAGGGGAGCGCTGCCAGGCGCTTATCGCCTCAAGTGGGGACAGGGCCTGTGCTGCTCAGTGGGGACAGAGCCTGCGCTGCTCAGTCTCATTGAGCGGCAGCCTGGGGCCCTCCCCGCGGGTCTTGCACACATGCAGCGAGTGTGCGCATGCAGCAAGGTGCCAGGCCTGTGTGCCCTGGCTGCAGGCCAGCGAGGCCGCCAGCGAGGCGTCCAGCGAGGCGACCGAGGAGGAGCTGGGCGGCGGCTGGCTGCACTACTTTCCACCCGCGCACCAGGTGTCGCCCCGGGCGTGCACCCGCACTGTGCTGGCGCCGCCGCTTCAGGCGTGCCGCCAGTACACGCCCCTGCAGGGCACCAGTGCGGATGCAGGGACGCCTGCCTGCCTGCTGACGCTGGGCCCCGGTGCGGTGCAGGAGATGTGCCGAGGCGGCGGCGTGACGGTGGCACCGCTGGTGGATGCCGCCGCCGGCGGTGCTCCCGCATCCTTGGAGAACAGCTGGTGGCGGCTGGGCGGCGGCAGCGCTACCGTGCCTCAGCTGCCGCAGCAGTTTGACAGGCGGGTGCAGGTGCTGCGGGAGGGGCCTGGCGGCGGCAGCGAGCAGGGAGCGGAGGATGTTGAGGGCGAGGGGGCAGGCCCGGAGCTGCGCAGGTGGAGCGTAGCCTACTGAGGCAGCAGGCAGGCGGGAGGAAGTCAGGCGGCGCGGCATGGGCAGCAGGCGGAGGGTCAGCGTTTTTGTTTACAGGCCGTTCTACGGCCAGACGAATTGGTGCGCCAGCATTCGGGGCAGCATCGCCTGTACCAACAGGGACTCAAGTTGGTTTGTATCGATTGTATGGATTGCATGTAGATCTCGATTGATTGACAAAGGTCGGCAGGAGGCGCCCACTTGTATGGTGCCCGCTCCACTCCCTCTGCACCGCGGAGACGCCGTGACTGACAGCGGTCAGGGCGAGGCGGCGGCACGCGGCCTGCCCTTGAGCGCGCCGGGCAGCAGTCGCCTCAGCGCGGCGCCCAGCCTGCCGCCGCCCGCCGCCGCCGGCGCGCGGCGGCCGCACGGCTGGCCGCAGCTGCTCCCCGCATCTGGTGGCCGGCAGGGCACCCCTCCTTGCCTCCCAGCGCCATGAGCCTGCACAACCCAGTGGGCCACACCGGTCACCCCGGCAGCGCCCGGCTCGCTTGCCAGGCTTCCCACCCCCTGCTGCCTGCCATCCCTGTTTCTCCTACACTGTTGACGTGTCTGTACCTGGCTGCCGGCCGCGGCGCTGTGGAAGAGCGGCGCAAAGTCTTCTGACGAGCGAGGGCTCCAGGCCCGCGGCTGGTACGGCGGCTGCATGCGAGGGCGGGGCAGGCGGCGGGAGCAGCAAGGAGGCTGTCGGACAGGTGGCTGTCCCTTTGGCCGCGAAGGCACGTGCTAAGCAGCTGGCTGTCCCGGGCTTACCGGCTCCAAAGGGAGGAGGGCAGGCGGCAGCGCCGGCGGCCGCTCGCCGGCGCCGGCCCCCGCGCGCCGCGCCGCGCCGCCGCCGCCGGCCCCTCCACGCCCTTGCTGCTGCCTGCCGGCAGGGCGACCGGCGCGGGGCGGGCTCCCGGCGCGCGCGGCGCCGGCCCCAGTGACTGCTCCCCGCCCGTGCGCCGCAGGCGGAACCGGTACCCCGGGGCTGTACCTTCCGGGCGAGCTGCTCCCGCTGCTGCCAGCCTGGCGGGGTGCCAGCGGGGCGCGGTCCCAAGGCATCGCCACAGTGCCGGTGCTGTCCAGGCTGCTGCCGGCGCCCGGGTCCGCGGCACGCTGTGCCCGCTGGTCTCCCGGCTGGTCTCCCGCCACCTCAGCGCCGCCCGCCGCGCGCCCCACGCCGTCGATCACCCGCCGTACCGCCGTCCAGGGGCGGTACGGCGGCAGCTGGCCGGTAGCTGGGGACAGGGGCGGGCTCGGCGGGTCCCCATCTGCATGCCCTGCATGCCCTGCTGCCGCCCCTCCTGCTCTCTCACTCCCACCGGCCGCCACCGCAGCTTGCGAGGCGCCACTAGCCGGCCCTCCGGCCTCCCCGGCAGCTGCCGCAGGGAACAGCGCCGCAGCGGTGCTGCGGGACAGCACCGTCACCGCCGCCACGCTGGCGGCGCTGGCAGGCTGCGTGCTGGGCGGCGGCACGCCCCACTTGCCGCCCTGATGGCCCAACGGCTGGAAGGTAACTTGGCTGGAGTAGCGCGGTACCGGACCAGGCAGCTGCCACAGCAGCTGCCCCGCCCCCGCCCCTGCGCCTCCAAGCCCATCCCCGCCCCCACCAGCCCCCCGGCTGCCCAGGCCCTCCCCGCCGGGGCCCGCCACGCCGCCGGGCGCCTGTCCCAGCGGGGCCGCCAGCGACTGCGCCAGGGCGGCGGCCTGCGTGGCCGCGGCGGCGGTCTGCGCCGCCACAGCTCGCACCAGAGGGTCGGCCTGCCGCCGCCGCCTCCCATCGCTGGCTCCGGCAGCAGCAGGTTGTGCCGCCTGCCCGTGCTGGTCCCGGGGCTGGTGCAGGGGCCGGCGGCTGCCTGCCGGCGCGGCTGCGGGCCCAGCCGTGGCCGCTGCCTGCGCTGCCGGGCGCGTGCCGGCGCCAGCCGCTGCAAGCCCGACGGCGACACTGGCCAGAGGGGACGTCTCCGGATCCGCGGCCGGCCCCTGCTGCTGCTGCTGCTGCTGCTGCTGCTGCTGCTGTGTGCGCTGTGTTGCGGTTGTGGCATCTGCAGGCTGAACTAGCCGGCTGGAGTCGGCAAAGTTGGCGGCGGCACTGCTGGCAGCAGCCTTCTGGGTGCCGCCCAGTGCTGCCACCTTGCGCGGCGCGTCCCCAGAGGTGACAAACAGCTGCCAGGCGCAGCGCTTCTTGTCGGGAGAGCGCCAGTGCGGCGGGGCCGGCGCCGGCGGCAGGCCGTGCATGCTGCTGGGGTTGGGCGCCGCCTCGGAGGCGGCTGCTGCCATGCAGCTGCGGGGGCCGCCGCCGGCTGCGGCGGTGGGTGGCGGCGAGTCGCCCACCAGAACCAGGTCGCTCTGTTCCTGCAGGTAAGCAGGCAGGCAGGTGGCGGGCAGCGTGGGCTGTCATAGGCTGTCGTGCAGAGCCAAGGCAGCCTGGCCGGCAGGTGTGCCGGTGCGGGCACGGGCTGGCAGCAGTGGTTGGTGCCTGGCTGCCGCAGGCACGCACCGACGGCAGCCTGTGGGCTCCTCGCCCGGGAGACTCGTGCTGCTCCATCCGGGCGCTGGTGGCTGTGTCCTCGCAGCTGGCGCCGCCATCAGCGCGAGTGGAGACAGCGGAGTGGAAGTGCTGCGGGCGGGCAAGTGGGGTGGGTGAGAGGGGCAGTGTAAGCTTGCAGGTGCTGTCAATGCCCCCGCATATGAGGGCCTGACCCCTCCCTGCCTGCCATGCCCACCTGTGTCCCTACGGTTGTGGCGGAGCAGGGCAGCAGGGCCCAGGGCTCGGCAACTGCATCGTGGAACGCGCGGGCGCCCTGCTGTGGCGGTTGCGGCGGCGGAGCAGCGCCCTCCTCTGGGATGGCAGACAGGTTGCGGTGGTGCCTGTGTCGTGATGCAGCCGAGCCCAGGGAGGCCAGGCTGCTGTCGGAAGAGTCCAGGGGGCTGTTGGGCAGCATTGGTGGCAGCAGGGCGGCCGCCGGCATCGATGATGATGGAGCGGGCGCCGCCGCTGCTGCCTCCAGCACGTGCACCCTGCGATGTAGCTGGGCACTGTGGCGGCGCAGTTCTTCCACCAGCTCGCTCTCTCGTCGCAGCCTGCCCTGCAGCTCCCACAGCTGCACCAGCAGCGGTGTCGTTGCCGGCGCCTCAGCCACGGCAGAGCGGCACATGCACCCACATCCGAAGAGCGCAATTGCAGTGCCCGGGGGGTGTCGGCGGCCAGGAACGGCCTCTGGTTGACCCGTACCGCATGTACCTCGGCAGCCTCCCACTCCTCGGCTCGTTGGCGCGCCCGCTGCCCTCCGCAGACGCCCCATTCAAACAGGTTCAAACTGGGTGCTCTCAGGCACCCTCAGCCTCGCTCTGGTGCTCGCCTCACCAACGGGTCTGTGCCTGGCTGGCCCCACCTGTTGCACGCTGTTCTGCGCCACTGCAGCGGCGCCTAGGCCACCAGAGATCGCCGCTTCCAGCGCCCCTGGCACCCGAACCCTTGACGCGTGGGTGTTCGCCAGCTGGGTGCAGGCAATTGCAAGGGCTGAGGCAGCACCTGTGCGAGCATGGCCGGCAAGAAGAAGAAGAAGGGCACGGCGCACCAGCTGCTGGAGGACTGGTCGGGCAAGGTGGAGGCGCGGGAGGCGGTGTTTCGCGAGCAGGTAAAGTCCACCGCCCGGCGGCAGCTCTCGCGCAAGCAGCGCCGCGCCGCGGCGGCGGCGGGAGGCTGGGGCGACAGCAGCCCCGAGCGCGAGCTGGCCGGTGGCAGGAAGCTGCTGCTCGACGGCGGCGACAGCGGCACAGAGCAGACAGACGCAGACGCCGCCAGCGCCGCCGCGGTGAGTGCAGGGCCGCAGCCGTGTCACTGGTGGGGCAGCAGGCGCCGCTCAGCTCTCAAGGGGAGACGAGACCTGTGCCAATTCGTCAGTCATTGCAGGCAGTGCTCATGCCACACGCGTATCTTTCATGCCCTGGTTCCTGCCATGTCCCCCATGCAGAGCCTGCCGGGCGCCCCTCTGGCCCTGCCCGCCACCGGCGCCAGCACGCCGCTGAGCGCGTCTGGCGGCAACACGCCGCGCGGCCCGCCCGCCGTCCGCACCCCGGGCAGCGCGCACAGCGGCAAGGCGCCGCCGTCTCGCATGGCGCTGCCCTCCCCTGAAGCCTTTGCCGCCTCGCTGGCGGTGAGCGCCGGGCGCAGCTGTGCGGGCAGGCTGCCTGTCGACTGGCGGCATTCGGCGCCTCTCCCCGCACCTTTCCGCATTTCACCCTTCGCTTGGAGGCATCCCTCCCCACTGCAGAAGAGCAGCAGCGGCAGCGGCGCAAAGGGCTGGGGCCTGCCGCTGCGCTTCCCCAGCCAAGACAACTCCCCCCAGCTGTCGGCCCGCCGCGCCTCGCCGCCGCGATCGGCCCGCCTGCCGCCAGGTGCGCTGCCGCTGTGGCGCTGTGGCAGCAGCCGTGTAATGTGTCTCACCTGGCTGGTTGTTCTGCTGGGTGGGGCGGTGTTTCATCTACTGCAGAGCCAGGTTGTAAGGCTGCCTGCAGCTGCACACAGCTTGCAACAATGCTCATCGTCCCGCTTCCTCTGGCCAACTCTGGGTGCAGGCTGGGGCGATGATAAGGAGGAGGAGGAGCACGAGGGGCAGCACGAGCAGCAGCAGCAGCACCACCACCACACAGCGGGCGCCCAAGCCAGCAGCGACCACTCCCTGAGCTTTGCCGCCGGCTCGCCCTCTCCGCCACAGCGCCAGCAACAGCAGCAGCGCCGCCCATCTGCCCTGGGCTTTGCCGTGCTGGCCGATGAGGCAGCAGGCGAGAATGAAGCAGCCGTGTCTGATTCAGGTAGCACCGGCCAGCAGCGCTCGCCGCAACGGCCCCACTCAGCGGCAGCGGGCGCGGCGGCGGCCGGCGGGTCAGGCTATGCGTCTGAAGGTGAGGAGGAGGGTGCAGAGGAGGCACCCGTTGGCACGGGCGCCGCCGCTGGCGGCCTCTTCTTCAGCTTTGGCGCTGCAGCGCTGGCAGGGCAAGCGGCCCCCTCGGCCTGGCAGCCGCAGCTGCAGCAGCAGCCTGCGCTGTTCAGCTTCGCGGCGGCGCCCGTGCCAGCGGCAGCAGTGGCAGCGGCACCCCCACCACAGCAGCAGCACCAGCAGCAGCGGTCCCGGTTTGCTTTTGCCGCCAGCTTGTCCCCAGGTGCCTCCGCCGCGGCCGGGCCTGCCTCCAGCCCGCCCGGCCGCCAGCCGCTGCCGGACGGGGAGGCGGCGGTAGCCGGCCTGCAGCTGCCAGCTGGCGCTGACCTGGCGGCTGCCTCCAGCGAGGAAGACGACCGCTACTTCTCAGCCATGCCCAGCAGAGCCGCCTCCGCAGCACTCACCGCCTACGCCTCGGCTCGCAGCCTCAGGTGTGCAACGCGCCAGCGGCCTGCTTTGCTCCCTGCTGCCGCACATGTGCCCCCGCTGCGTGAGCTGACGTCTGCATGCGCCCCGCCTGCCTGGCCTGCCTGCAGCCGCAGCGGCGAAGACAGCCCCACACGCAGCAGCGGCGCCACGCCCCTGCGGCCTCGGCACAGCCCCGCCGCGCCGGCAGCTCGTGCCGGCAGCGCCATGGGATCTGCCGCCGTGCTGGCCCAGCTGCAGCAGACCGCGCAGCTGCTGAGCGCCGCAGCGGCAGAGGCGGGGGGCGAGGAGGAGGGAGATGACGCCGCCTCAGTGGCTGCGCTGGAAAGCGGAACAGCAGCGGAAGGGGCCGCATCCGTGCCAGCCTCCCGCAGCGCCGGCATGTCTCCGGTTCGGCCGCTGCCTGGGCCCTCGCCTTTTGCCGGCGAGGTCTTCATGGGAGCTGGCGCACCGCTCCCTTCGGGGCAGCCACTCACCTTGCAGCCGCTGCCAGAGCTGGCGCTGGTTCGGCTGGCCCCATCGGCGGCCTCATCTGACGCTGGCTCCAGGGTGCGGCCGTCGGCACGCAGCCCTCTGCGCGGCCCTCTGCGCAGCCCGGCGCGCAGCGCCTCTCCAGCGCAGCCTCCAGCAGCAGCGGCGGGGCCAGCCCAGTCCCAGCCGTTCCAGGGGTGGCCCCAGGAGCAGCAGCAGCAGGTGGCTGCCGCATCGCCCCACCGGCGCTCGGCCCGGCTGTCACAGATGGCCCCTTGGTCGCCTGCCAAGGTGACGGCAGTTGCGGTGGCGGCTCCGGGGGCTGTCACTTTCCCGGCATCGGCCGCAGCATCCGCGGCTGCCAGCCCAGCCGGCTCCCCCACCCGGCTGCTCCCAGCGGCGCATTCGCCGGCAGGCGCCAGCACCGGCCGCCGCTCCCCACCTCTGCAAGCATCGCGGGCGGCCTCGCCTGCGGCGGGGCCTGGGCTGTGGGCCGCCGGGCAGTCTCCTGCGGGGCATGCTGGGTCCCCGAGCGACCCTTCGCCGGCCTTCTCGCCCGCCGCCGCCGCCGCGGTGCGGGTGATGCAGCTGCAGCGCGAGCAGGGGTCGGCGCCCACCCACCTCCTGCAGGCAAGCCGCCCTGCTGCGCAGCCACCAGCGTTACAGTAATGCTCCCTCATGGCCGCCGCCCTATGCCAATCCCATCCCTTGCTCCGGCGCTGCTCTTCTCCTGCCCGCAGGCGGCGCAGCGGCACCTGACGACCGCCTTTGAGATGCTGCCATCAAGCTCCTGCCTCTCAGGCAAGGCCCCCACGCAATGCCTGCTTGTGGTCGCCGATGCCGCTGATGGTGCCTCCCCGGCTCCCCTGTCCGCTCTGCCAGCTGGGCAGCGCACTGCTTGCGGCTGCGAACACGTTTGATGCCCTCCTGGCTGCAGGCGCCACCAGCGCTGCCGCCCACTCTATTGCTGCTGAAGAGGACAGCGCTGAGCTGGCTCCAGAGGGCAGCATCGACATGGGCGGCGAAGAGCCAGCGGGCTCGGCTGGCGATCTGGCGGCAGAGGATGGGGGAGGTCTGCAGCCGCTGACTGGAGCAGCGGCGCTCCAGCACCTGCGCGGCTCAGTCGCCAGCAGCGCTGCCAGCAGCCAGGAGGCAGGGGATGAGGGGCAGTACGCGGCGCTGCCAACAACGTCACCGTGGTCCCTGCCAGCACCAGTAGAGGCAGATAAAATGGAAGCCGGCGGCTTTGCAGCTGCCGGCGCTGACCTGAGAGCCTCCCTGGCCAGCACCGCCGCCAGCAGCGAGGCTGGAGAGGAGGGCGCTGAAGTGGCCGCTGCATTTGCTGGCGGGGTAGCACCGGCGTTGGCACTTACAGGGTTGGAGGAAGAGGAGGCAGCAGTTGAGGTGGAGCCTTCCCGGGCAGGCTCGGTTGACGCAGACGGTGAACCTCAGCTGGACCAGCAGACAGATGGCACGGCAGACGCCATCACGGCAGCAGCACCAGCGATGGTGTTTGGTGCTGCCGCAGCTGCGGCGGCGGCGAGCGCGGGTTGGGCAGGTACCGGCCTGGCAGCCACCGAGCTGGTGGGTACGGAGGAAGAGGAGATGGTGGGGGTGGCTGATGCGTTGGTGGTGGCGGAGCAAGCGCTGCCAGAGGCATCCCCTGGTGGGACAGACACTCACCACACAGGGGCGGCTGGGGCCAGCCCCTCGTCTGAGTCAGTTGTGCTGCACGGCAGCATGAGCGGCATGGAGCCGTGGCAAGGTAAGGCGAGGCGGCCGCACCCCGCATCCCGCCAGGGCACCCCCTGCTTGCGCCCAGCAGGCCCGGCAGCGTGCCCGATCACCTCCCCGGCTGCCCTGCTCAGCATCCAGCATCCTCCTGACCTCCCCGGCTGCCCTGCTCAGCAACCAGCATCCTCCTGACTTCCCCGGCTGCCCTGCTCAGCAACCAGCATCCTCCTGACCTCCCCTGCTCCCCCTGCAGATGCGGCTGCAGCTTCACCGGCTGTGCAGCGGGAGGGGCTGCTGTCTGGAGAGCCATCAGAGGGTGGCAGCTCAAATGAGCCAGCTGGGCTTGAGGCGGGCGAGGGCGCTGGCGAGGACCGCTCCCTGCTGCGCCAGCAGGAGTGGCGGCAGCGCAGCGACTCCCCGCTGTGGGAGCAGCCAGGGGAGGCGGGCGAGGAGGATGTGCACGGCGGCGCAGATGGCGTGAGAGGCGCAACGGCAGCAGCAGCCGCAGCACGCAACTGCAACGCTTACTCGCCAGGGCCGCTGCAGGGCGCACTAATGGAGAAGGAGGAAGAGCAGCTGCAGCAGCAGCCAGTGTCTCCTTCAGGGCAGACCAAGCCCAGCCCGGCCGCTGATGCGGCGCTCGGCGCCGGCGGCACTGCAACGGCTGCAGCTGCTGCTGGCGCCGCTGGCATGGCACGCCTGGGTTCAAGCGGTGGCAACGGAACGCCTGGCAACGCCCTGTTGGCGGCACTGCAGGGCCAGCTCCCGCGCCGCAGCGCCAGCGGGGGCGCTTTCCTGACGGCTCGCAGCCAGCTGTCTGGCCTGGCAGGGGAGAAGGAGGAGGAGGAGGAGGTTGCTTCACCCACCACCGAGCCCTTCAGGTGGGGGAGGCCGGTAGAATTCTGCATTGCTGCCCCATCTATGTAGCGCCCTGCCAAGGCTGCCCGCTGGTGCCCTGCTGGCATGCCTTTAATTCCTCTTGCCGCTCCTGGACACTCCTTTTGGAGAGAATCCTGAGAGCATCTGGTGCCGGCCTTGCCATGCTTGGCCACCAACCGACCAATGCTCGCTCCCCCCTGCAGGTACTCTCTTGCCCGAGACCCCGATGCTCGCCCAGCTGGCACGCAGCAGGTCCCCGGCGGCAGCCTGGCCGGCCTGTTTGCAGGCGCGCCCGGCGGCGATGCTGGGCTGGAGGCGCCCCAGCTGCTGCCCGCCACCCTCCCCGGCTCTGCCGCACCCCCAGCCTTCGGCGGCAGCGAGGGCGAGCAGGAGGAGGGCAAGCAGGGCGGCGGCTGGCAGCCATACAGCCAGTGGCAGCAGCAGAAGCAGCGGCTGCTGCAGGGGCAGCATGAGCGCAGCAACAGCAGCATCCCTGCCTCGTGGGGCCAGCAGCCTCTGGGAGAGCAGGAAACAGAGGATGAGCTTGTGCTTCAGCAGCAGCAGCAGCAGGAGGAGCTGCCCCTGTCCCTGGCGGCAGAGGCTAGCCCCTTGAGCCTTCAGAGCGCCGCCGGTGGCAGGCGGCGGGCAGGCGCAGCGCTGCGCTCGGGCGCCGTCGCAGCGGCGGCTGCCGCAGGAGTGGCGGCGGCAGGCGGCGCATCTGGCGCGCTGGCCTCACCGCTGCTGCCTGGCACGGAAGTGACGCCAGCAGGCCTGGCCACGCCTATGAGGGGCGCGGCCTCCCCGCAAGCAGCCGCCACCGCTCTGTCGCCTGGAGCCGCTGCTGCGGCAGCCGCCGCCTTTGCCGTGGCTGCGGCTGCAGTGAAAGAGTCTCCCATGCCGCCTGCAGTACTGCCATCGCCCATCCCGTACAGTCCGGAGAGCCTGCGGTACCGCCAGCAGGCCGGGCTGCCCCCGCTCCGGGCGTCGCCAGCTGCCGCTGAGGCTGACGCAGCGCCGGGCAGCCCCGGCAGCCAGCGGTACCGCCAGCAGGCGGAGCAGCAGGCCCTGGCGGTATCCCAGATGCAGCTGCAGCGCCTGCTTAGCGAGAGCCAGCAGCAGCTGCAGGAGGCGGCTGCTGGCCTGGCGGATGGCCCTCAGCAGCAGCTGCTGCAGCAGCAGTTCCTCACCCCCACCTCCCGCTATCTCCCTCACCCCGCGGGGCAGGCAGAGCAGGCGGCGGAGGGCAGCTATGCCAGCACCGTCATCGGCAGCGCCGCAGGCGGCCGCTTCCCGCAGCCGCACCAGCAGGCGCAGGGCATGGAGGCCGCCGCGGCTGCGGCTGCGGCTGCCGCCGTCAGCGCACGCCTGGCTGAGGTTGGGCAGGTGGGGCGCCGCTAGGGCGCCGTCTGGGATGGCCTGCTGCACTTTGGTTGGCAAATCAGCGGGCGCATGTTCAAGCCCTTCCTTCCTGCACTGCGGCTGGCCAGTTGCTTGCCCCTGCGTGACCCACGGAACCATAGCTCTGACCCTGCGCCTGACCGACACACGCCCCTTGTGCCCCCTCGGCTGCTGTGCTGCCTGCCGTGCAGATGACCCCCACCTCAGCCATCCAAGCCCTGCGGCGCAGCCTGGCGCTGATCGCGCCGCCCGGCGCTCATGCCGCCGCCTGGGCCGCGCAGCAGCAGCAGGTGCAGGGCATCTTGGGGCGCTTGGAGTCAAAGTTCAGGTGCGCTTGGCGGCGGCGGCGGCAGCCAGGCCGTCGCCTGGCTGCCGGCCCTGGCTGCTTGCACCGGCTGCCTACGCCGGTGCATGCACAGGGGGATAGCAGCGAGAGCAGCCGCAGCACATCCACCCCTGCGTCCGCCTCTGCCTGCACTGGCGGCTGCTGGCGGCTGCAGGGAGGCGCGTGCGCGGGCGGAGGAGGAGGCAGAGCAGCGGCACCAGCTGGAGCAGCAGGTGTGTGCAGCCTCCGGCCTGCGCCCGCGCCTGCGCCATGGCTGCCCCACACCGCCACGCCCGCCGCAGTCCCTACCATGAGAGCCTCTGCTGCCGCTGTTTTGTTTACGTCGGCACCTGATGGGCACATGAGGCAGCATCCGATCCAGGCGCCCCTGGCTGAGCGTCGCTGCCTGCCGCCCGTGCTCCTCCGCCCGCCCTGCAGGTGTATGCGCTGCAGCAGCAGGTGGAGGGCCTGCAGGCGGCGGCGGACGATGCCGACACGCTGAGGCTGGAGGTGATGGAGGCAAGGAGGGAAGTGCAGGAGCTTCAGCAGCACCAGCGGCGCTGGGACCTGCGGCAGCGGGAGGAGGCGGCGGCGCAGGCGCGGCGCCTGGCGGAGGAGGAGCGGCGGCGGGAGGAGGAGGAGGAGGCGGCGGTTCGTGCTGCGGCGCTGGAGCGCCAACGCTGGCGGCAGCAGCAAATATTAGAGGTGCAGCGGGAGCAGGAGGCGGCGGCCGCTGCGGCCGCCTCCCGGCAGCAGCAGCTGCACCTGCAGCGGCGGCAGGCCGCAGAAGTGCACCCTTATGATGCGGCCTACCATCCTGGCCTGCGGCAGCAGGTGGAGCGCCAGCAGGGCTTCTACTACGGCCAGCAGCAGCAGCGGGCGCAGCACGCCGGGGGCGAGACCGGGGCAGGTGCGGCGGCGGCCCACCGCCAGTACGCAACCATCGGTGGCACCGTGGCGGGCACGGTGGGCGGCGGCCCGCGGGACCCGCGCGCGCAGCGGCGGCAGGCGGCGCCCCAGCCGCAGCACAGGGCGGTGCAGCGGGTGGCGGTGCTGGACTCTCGGGCCTTCTCTCCGCTGGGCGCTGGCGCCCTCAGCTGGGGCGAGCAGCAGCAGCTGCGGGAGCGGCAGCAGCGGCAGGCGGCGGGCGGCGTGGTGACGGCGGCGACTGCCCAGCACCACTACCGCACCATCGGCTGATGCGATTTCATATGAATGGAACATGAGTTCTGAGCAGAGCAGATGCAAGGCTGGGCTGTATAACGACAGGCATGCCGAGCCTGGCCAGTGCTACTTGCATAGCGTCCATCGTCCAAGATTACAGATGTAAACTCTCCCCAGCTTGTGCGCAGCCGCGGCAGCCATGCTACAGCCCTTGCTCTACCGCCGTGTAGGTAGCTACATCGTGTTGCAATGCATGGAGGCCCCGCCGGGCCCCGCAGCCGCCCTCCGCTCGCCACCGCCGCCGCCGAGGAGCCAGGACGAGGGGGCGGGCTGCTGCCAGCCCACCGCCGCCAGGCGCTCCAGGTTGGCTCGCGCCGCTGCCGCCGCGTGCTCCATGCCGCGCTGCTGCTCCGCCTCGGGAGACCACAGCCGCACCGTGGCGTCCAGCCCCGCGCTGGCCAGCACCGGCAGCAGCGGGTGCGGCGCCACGCACGCCACGCCGGCCGCCGCGCCCGCCGCGCCGTCTGCCGGGCCGGCGCCGCCGGCTGCGGGTGGCGCGGGTGGCAGCACCGCAACCAGCTGGCCGCTGGCGTAGTCCCACACAAAGACGTTGCCGTCGTCAGAGGGAGACACCAGCAGCTCTGCAGGCCAGGCGGGCATAGGCGGGGCAGCGCCAGGCGGCCGCCTCACCCAGCCCGCACCCCAGCAGCGTGCGCCTCCAAGCAAGCAGGCGAGCGCGCAGCAGGAGCAAGCGCATAGCAGGCACCCATAGGCCCTAAGCCAGCTCCAGAAACTTGGGTAGAATGTGGTTCTAGGCGTCACGCCCCCACCGGGGCACCACGCCCCCACCCCCACCCACCCGAGTGGCAGCCCAGGAAGGCCAGCTGCGGTGCCAGCGCCAGCCCGCCCTGCGCCTCGGGCGCCAGGTTGAGGTGGCCGCCGTAGCGGCGGCGGAACATCGTGGGCTCGCTCACCTCCTCGCCGCCGTCCGCGTCTGCGGCAGGGCGGGCGCGGGCGTGTGCGCACAGGCAGGCGCGGGCTTTAGCGCACAGGCAGGCCGGGGTGGGCAGGAGGGAGGGTCCCAGGTGGAGGGGCAGCCTTGCGGCAACACGGTCATATGCAATGCACGGCGCGCTGCATGGCAAGGTCTGTGCTGCAAGCTTGCTCTTGCTGAAACCAGACTGTAAGGTCACACAAGCAAGCAACAAGCACGGCAGCCGGCGCCGCGGCGGCAGCGGCCTGTGCTGGCAGCGCGGCGGGGCGGAAGGGGCCGGTCCCCAGCCCGGGCGGCCAGGCGCGGGCAGCAGGTGCCTCGCCTGCTGTGTGCACGATGGCTCCCACGGCGCTGTCCACCTGGTGCCCGCGCTGCGCCTGCTGCGGGGTGCCCGCCGCGCGGCCGCCGCCGCCGCCGCCGCCGCTGCCGCCGGCCGCCACCGAGGCCTGCCGCTGCTGGATCTCGGATCCGGTGGGCAGCTGCGAGCCGGGCATGAAGTCGCCCAGTACCGAGGGGCCCCGCCCCGACAGCATGGTAGCCTGTGGCTGCTGCGCCTGCTGCGTCGCCTGCGCCTGCGCCGCCGCCTGCTCCCCCTCGGCCGCCGCGGCCGCCACGGCCGCCGCCTGGCTGCCCATGGCTGCCAGGCCCGCGTCGGCTGCCGCCGCAGCGGCGGCGGCAGCCGCATACGCCGCCTCGCCGTGCTGAGAGGCGTCCAGGCCGGCTGAATGGCGGCGCAGGCGGGAGGCCTGGCGCCCGCTGGCCTGCGGAGGCAGGTAGCGCTGCTGCTGGGAGCCAAAGGCGGGCGGGCGGGAGGTGCCAGTGCTGGCGGTGGGCTGCAGCTGCTGGCGCTGCTGCCGCGGGCCGGACGGCGGCAGCGGCAGCTGCCCCTGCGCCTGCTGCGGCAGCAGCGCGTCCACCGCAAACTGCGGCGGCGGCGGTGGGGCACGGTTGTGGCCAGTGCTCGCCTCACGGCCCTCCGCCGACGCCTGCAGCTGCTCGGCAAACGTTGCGGCCGCTGCTGTGGTGGCCAGGGGAGCGTTGCCGACAGAGGGGGCGTCTGCCCGCCCACGCTGCGCCACGCTGCCCACACGCTCGTTCGCAGGCTGCTCGGCTGCGGCGGCGCGGCGTGGGGGTGGTGGGGTGGTGTGTGTGTGTTGGGGGGGGGGGGGTCAGGTCAGGCTAGGTGTGAAAGGCGGGCATGCCTCGGGAGCTGCTGCTGCTGCTGCAGGCAGCTTGGTGCTCCCCCCACCCAGCCGCTGCCTCCCTCACGCGGCATTGGCAGGCTGCCCCTCAGCACCACAGCCTGCACGGCAATGACAGCTGTGGCTGTGCTGCTGGCCGGCGGCGGGCCCCTACCTGAGTTTAGGCTACTGGCCTCGTGCCCCGCCTGCTGGCTGCCCAGCTGCGTGGCTAGGCCGACACGTGATGCAGACAGCACCGGCCGGGAGCTGACTTCCATGGCTGGAGACTGCTCCACCACGACCCCGCAGCCCTGGGCCCCTGCAGCGGCGGCCGGCGGCTGCCGCATGCTGACGGTGACCTCCTGCTGTGCGCGCTGCGTGCCGCCCTCCCAGCCCCCGCCGCCGGCCGCCACCTCCGAAGCCTCCAGCTGCGGCGCGTGGTGGTGCAGCAGGCCCACCGTGCTGTCCAGCCGCTGCATGGCGGCGGCCGCCGCGGCAGCCGCCGCCGCCGCCTGCCGGCGGCGGTGGTGCTGCGGGCTCCTCCCCGCGGGCGCCTTGAAGCCGCCGCTGCCGCCGTCGGGCGCCGCCGCGGCGTCTGCGCCGGCGACAGCGGCTGCACCCCTGTCCACGCCTCGGCCCTGCTCCGCGGGCTCGTGCCGCTGCGAAGCTACCGCCGCCGCCGCCGCCGCCTCGTCGGCCGCGGCGCCCGCCAGCGTGCGCCGCCGCACGCGCCGCGCGCGGGTGGCTGGAGAGTGCAGGCCCGGGTCTTCGCTGTCGCTGCTGCTGGCCGGCTCCGCCACCCCCGACACCGCGGGCTGCTGCACCTCCCCCAGCCGTGCCTCCGCCTGCTGCGCATCCTCCGCCTCTGCAGCCGCCTCCGCCGCCACATCCTCTGCGAGCTGCTGCAGCTCTGCGGCCTCGGCCGCGTCGCGGCGCCGCCGCATGATGCGCCGGCTGCGCCGCACGCCCTGCCGCCGCTGCTCGGGGCTCACCCCGTCCGACAGCCCCTCAGAATCGCTCACCAGCTCCAGAGGCTGCCTCAGATCATGCTGGTGGTGCTGGTGGTGGTGATGGTGCTGCTGCTGCTGTGCATGGTGCTGCTGATGTGGCGCCACCTGGCGCGGCTCGTTCTGGGGCGAGCGCAGCGTGCTGCTGCTGGGGTGCATCTGCCAGTGGGCGGGGCGGGAGCTCTCGGCGCGAGGCTCCGCCGCCGCGGCCGCCACCCGGCTCTGCTGCCGGCGCTGCCGCTCCAGCATGCGCACGGAGGGCGCGAGGGCGATGCCGCGCCCCGCCGCGGCGCGCTGCTGCTGCCGCAGCAGCTGCCCCGCCTGCGCCAGCGCCGCGGCGGCGCGGTCGGGCGGGCCGGGCGCGGTGCCGCCGCCGCCCTCTGCCGCCGCCTCCACCGCCGCCTCCCCTGGCAGCACGGCTGGGGAGGCCCACTGCGCCTGCGGCTGCTGGCTGGCCTCGTAGCCGTGCGCGCTGCGCCGCCCGGCGTGGCTGCGCGGCCGCGCAGGCGCCCTGCACGCCCAGCGCAGCGCGAGGCAAAGTCGGCAGCCATGCGCTGGTGAGCAGGCAGATGGCAAAAGCCTCCCGAGCGGGCAGGCCGGCTGCCGCCCCGAAGGTGGAAAGAACCAGCTCAACTATTGCTAGCAGCTGCTGTACTTTCTTCCCTGCCCTGCTCTTTCCTTTCGTTGGAAAGGTGGGCTGCTCCTGCCACCCCTGCGCCAGCCCTCTGCCCGCCCGACTCCACCCCACACCCCACACGCAACCCCCGCACCTGAGCACCGTCTCGGGGATGTGCAGTAGTGTCTCCACGTCCCTGGCATGCTGCCTGACATCGAAGCTGTAGATCAGCTCGCCGCTGTAGCTGCCCACCACCTCGCCGCCGCCGCGCGCAAAGGCGACGGCGGTGACGGCGCGGCCCGGCGCGAGCGCGCCGCCCGGCGCCGCCAGCCCCGGGTGCCGCCCGCTGTCCCAAAGTGAGGCCTTGATGTGGGAGGGGGCGTAGCAGGCCACCCACTGAGGCGCGCGGGCGCCGGAGCGGCTGCCCGGCGTGCCGCCGTCGTCCGCGCCGCCCCCCGAGGCGCCCACCACCAGCATGCGGCGGTCGTACAGGCGCAGCAGAGGGTCGGTGCCGCCGGTCAGCATCATCCAGGGCCGCTGCCCGTCCACGGCCAGGCTGTAGATGCCCACACGCACGCGCGACCGCCCCACGCGCTCCCCGCTCTGGTCCACTACAAACAACGCAGGGGGGTGCACATGATGCGTGTGATGGGGAGCTAGGCTGGGTGGGAGGCGTGCCCGATGATGTGTGTGGTTCATGGGTGGCATGCGTGATGCATTGATTATCGTGTGACATGTGAAGGGGAGGCACGCCTAGGCTGGGTGCGCGACGTGCATGCTCAGGGGGCCAGCGCCCGACGGCTTGCCGGCAAGGCCTGCAGCCCGGCAGCCCTCCCAGCCGCCCCCAGGCCGGCAGGCAGCACCCGCCCAGCCCCCCGGCCTGAACCCCAGCCAGGCCGCCACCCGGCCACCCACCCAGCACGTTTGAATCGTCTCCGGCCAGCGCCTCGCGGTGCACCGCTGCGGGGCGCTGCCGCACATCAAACTCCCGTACCGTGCCGTCCTCGCTGGCAGATAAAAAGACGTCTGCGGTACCAGCAGGGACGCAGCGTGCAGCGCGTGTAGGGCCACACAGCAGCGGCAGGTGAGGGAGGCCGCTCCCTGCACGTTTGTGAAGACCGCCCTGCATGCCAGCCGGCCTGCACACAGCCAACATGCACCGCGTATCCCCAGCCAGCACCCAGCGGCCGCCGGCGCCGCCGTGTAAGGGAACCCAGCGCAGCAGCAGCAGTAGCGGGGCAGCGGGACGTAGGCAGGGCACGGCAGCGTGCATAGCGTGCATTGTTGGCCGCTTGGGGCAGCACCCACGTGGGTCCAGTGGGACCACCGCCCGCACGGCGGCTTGGTGCACGAGGTACGGCCGTACCGCCCCCTTGGTCACGTTCAGGTGGCGGATCTGGTGGTCAGCGGAGCAGCAGATGAGCTGGTCCCCGCGGGAAGCTGGTAGGAAGCAGGCAGACAGGATGTTGGAGGTGTGGCCCTGCGGCAGGCGGACGGGGAGCATGCAAGGTTGACTGTGCTGGCTGACGGCGGCACGGTTGGTGGCGGCAGCACGTGGGTGCTGGCCAAGCATCAGGCAGCGCACTCGGCTGCCGCGCAGGCGCGGCTGCAAGAGGCGGAGCGGGCGCACCGTGTCAAAGCTGTGCAGCAGCTCGCCGCTGCCGCCGCCGCTGGTGCCGCGCCACAGGCGCAGGCGGCAGTCCTCGCCGCCAGAGGCCAGCAGGTCGCCGCCCTCCGTCCAGCTCAGCGTGTTGACCGCGCCCGAGTGGCCTCCCAGGGCTGCAACCTGCTCCAGGCGGCGGGCCAGGCCTGCGTCGCCCAGCGCGGCCGCGAGGAAGCGGTGCGGGCGGTGGCCAAAGGCGGCGCCGCCCTCCAGCGACGCCAGCGCGCTCTCCCGCTCCAGAAACGCCGGCAGCATGGCGCGGTCTCGCGATCAGCGGGGCCCCCTCTCGGGAAGGAGTTGGGAGGCCGGTTGTTGTTGGGCGGGTGTACGGTGGTCCATCTTGGGGCCTGCCCAGCAACCTCCGACACGCTGAAGGTGTCTGAGGATGCTGATGGAGGCCTGGAGCCCGGGGCTGCGAGAGGCGGCCGCCCCGCTGGCGAGCCACGCGCAGCACGAAGAGCTTGCAGGGGCCTTGGAACACCTTTTACCGCATCCCAACGTCGCCCCGGGTCGTGTCCATTGGCAGCAAGCCGGCCCCGGAACGCTCCATCACACCGGTCGTTGTGCCCAATTGACGCGCTGCGGCTGCATACAAACGCGCGCAGATGGGCTACCTCGATACCCTGGACCCGCGGCGGCGGGCCAGGGTGCTGCAGCTGGGAGGCGCCGCCGCCGCCGCCCCGCGTCGTGGTGCCGCCGCTGCCGCCACAGCTGGGCTCGCCGCAGCCGGTGCGCCGCCCGCCCAGCTGCTCAGCCCTGCCGAGGTATCACGCCTGCGGGTGCGGGAGCGGTCGCTGGCAGAGGAGAATGCCAGCCTGCGGAGCAACCTGCAGGCGCTGCTGGCTCGCACCAAGGCACTCGACAGAGAGTTGCAGGTGACCGCTTTTGATGGGTGCTGCCGTGTATCGGAAGATACCGCGCCAGCGGGCTGCCTGGTGGCTTGTAGGCTGACCCCTGTCCCCTGGCCGCCTGCCAACCTGCAGGCCCAGCGCCACGCCTCGCAGCAGCGGGAGCAGCGCGCCGCCGAACGGCACGCCGCCGCCGCGGCGCAGCAGGAGGAGCAGCTGCAGCGGCAGCGCAGGGCGCTGCTGGACCTGGCCGCCGCCGCCGAGAGCCTGGCGCGGGAGAATGCGGAGCAGCACGCGCGCCTGGTGGCGCTGCAGGTGAGAGGACTGATGGGTGCTAGCTTGCTTCAGGAGCTGCAGCTGGCTGTGCATGGTGTATGGCCGGGGCTCCGGAGACGGGAGGCTCAGCTGCTGCCTGCCTCACTGCCTCACTGCCCAGGACGAGAACGCAGCGGGCAGCCGCAGCCGCGCGCTGCAGCAGGAGCGGCTGGCCGGCCTGCAGAGCGTGTGCCTGCAGCTGGATCAGCAGGCAGCAGGCGGCAGCATCAGCATCGACGGCGGCGGCACTGGCAGCGGCGGCGGCGGCCAGCATGCGGAGCTGTTGCAGCAGCTGACCTCCACGCTGAGAGCGCTGGGCCCCGCCAACGGCGCCACGGCGGCCGGCGCCGGCAAGCTGCCACCGGCGGTGGCTGCCGGCAAGGTGACCCGCTCGCTGCCTCTGTGCTCCTGTCCTGACCCAGCCTCTGCCACTGCGCACCCTGCCCTGCCTTGACCTCCCCAGCCCTACACCGTGCCCTGCAGGCGGAGGCTGCGGCCAGGGGGCTTCCCACTGACCTTCGCCTGGCTCTGAGGGAAGTGGAGGCGCTGCGGCGGCAGCGGCAGGGGCTGGAGGGGCGGCTGCGGGCGGCAGAGGCGCAGGTGGGGCCCCCGGCAGCTGCCCCTGCTGCTGCGCACGCCGCTGGCGCCTGGCACTAGTACCAGCACACTGCACTGCCCTGCTTGCACAATGCTGCGCTTGCTGTCCCTCTCCGCACCACCCTGCCCTGGGATCGGCGGTGCCATGCCCCCACTCATAGGGTTGCCCCCTCATTGGGTTGCAGGCTGCCAGGCTGCATGCCGAGCGGCAGGAGCTGCAGCAGAGCCTGGCCCGGGAGCGGCACGCGGCGGCCGCCGCCACGGCGGAGCTGCAGCGGCAGCTCAAGGCGGCGAGGGAGCGGGTTGAGGGCATGGTGAGTTGTAGAGGTGGTGGCGATGCAGCGCTGAGAGGAGCCACGGTGTGGGATGTCGCGACTAGCAGGGCCTGGCTGGGCTGTCGCGACTGGCAGGGCCAGTGCAGCTGCGTTTCCCACAGCAACTGCTAGCTACCTTACAGGCTGTGGTTGTCTCATGTCGCCGCCGCCCCGCTCCCCTGTGTTCAGGCCAGGAGCTGTGGGGAGAAGGATGGCGCGCTGGAGCAGCGGGACCGGTATGTGGCGCAGCTGGAGCGGCGCCTGTTGCAGCGCGGCCAGCCGGCTGCCGGGCGGCGGCGCTCCTCCGGCGGCGGCGGCGGCAATGGGAGCGGCGCCGGCTGCACAAGCGCCGCGGCAGCCTCACGCCTCGTGGCAGAGGCGCTGTCGGCAGGCTGCGGAGGGAGGGTGCCTGCGTGCGAGCAGGTGATGCCTGAGGCGGGATGCGCCCCACGCAGCCAGCATGCTGCCGCCACCGCCACGCTGTCTCCCAGCTTGCTGTCGCTGGCGGCCCTCTCCCCTGAGCCTGGTTCCTCCGGGACGGACTGGCAGCGGCGGCAGCAGGCGGGACATGCCAACCGGCGTGAGCAGCAGCAGCAGCAGCAGCAGCCGGGCCTTCCGGCAGGCTTGGATGGCTGCCAGCAGGGTGAAGCTGAGGAGTGCAGCCCCGGAGCGGACAGCACGATCCCGGCAGACTCGCCGCGGCGGGACCTGCTGCCGCCGCGCCGGCTGCGCTGGGCACTTGATTTATCTTCCCAGCTTGAGCAGCAGGAGCAGCAGGAGGAGGAGGAGGGGGATGCTGAAGAAGAGGCGTGGTGTGACTATCGCTTGGGGAGCCCTCCCGAAGAGTCTCCCATGCCAGGCCGGCACAGAGGCAGCGGCTTCGGCGGCATGAGCGGCAGGCAGCAGCACTGCAGCCAGTGTGATGCAGGCATCAGCAGCAACCCGCTGTTCTCCTTCCGCCCACAGCCGGCAGCAGCAGGCTCAGAGCCCGCTCCCGCGGCTTTCTTGGCAGCTGGCGGCTGTGGCGGCGGCGGGCACACCAGCTCGTTTCACAACGAGCTGTTCTGCGCTGCGCCACATGGCGGTGCGCCGCCGCTGCATCCAGCCAGCCAACGCGGTGCCGCCACTGTCAGTGAGGGGGAGGGTGCTGAGGAGCAGCAGCTGCCCGCCCGCATGCCCTCGGGAGAGTTCCCCTCTGTGTCGGCACTGCTGGAGGCGCTGACGCCTGGCTCCCAGCCAGCGGCGGCAGGCCCTCTGCAGGAGCAGGCAGCTGCTGGGGCAGGGGGCCAGATGGGCTCTGCTGCTGTGCCCGGCAGGACAGCGGAGCCGCAGCCGCTGGCAACTGCAGCCTGCCAGCCGGACGCTGGCAGCCGGCCGGACAGCGGAGCCACCGACGCGGCCGTAGAGCGGAGGCTGCAGGAGGCGGTGGCCTGCTTCTTTGCCACGTCAGCACTGAAGCAGGCGCCAGGTCAGCGGCAGCAGCAGGAGGACAGCGGCGCACGGCGCCACCAATCGCACGGCATGCAAGTGCCTTCAAGCAGCGGCGCCGCATGCAAGCAACGCCAGCATCAGCAGCAGGGAGGCAGCCCCGCTGCTGGCAGAGGGAAGCCAGCGCTGAGGAACGGGCGCATCAATCGTGCGGCAGACCAGCATCAGCAGGGGCAGCAGGCCGGCGGCGGCCCTGCCGGCAGGTGGTAGCCGCCTTGGTGGCTGGTAGCGTCACGCTACCACGGTGGTTCCTCAGGCCTTACAGTTACAGTGCCAATGACTTGGCATTATTAAGGTACATGGAAGCATGGAAGGGCTACATGGTATCAAGGATGGTATCCACAGTGTAGTTGTAATTGTGACAAGAGACATGGTACGACAGAAAAAGCAGGAGGCTGGGAGAGGCGCCCATGAACCTAAGCAACCAAGCAAAGGCACAGTAGCTAGCAGGCTGGGCACCAGCCTGAGGCCAGTGCGTCCGGCAGCGGCCGCTGACACATATCCAAGGGGCCTGAGTCTAGTTCATCATCATCATGCCTCTGCAAGCAAGACGGCACATGCCAGGCGGGAGGCGTCAGCGCCGGGGCTGGGGCAGGGGCACAACGCGGCTGGACACACATGCATGCTTTGACCCCCAGCCATCAAGTCGGCAGCCCATAGCAGTGGCGGCGAGCGCCAGGCGAGGCAGCGGTGGCTGCCTCACCTCCGCATCATGCGATTGGGCCGGGTCAGCAGCACCGCCGCCGCCGCCACCTTCTTGCCGTTGTTCTTCTTCGGCTCCTCCGCAGGCGGCGGCGGGGCGGCGGCGGGGTAGGGGTAGGGCGGGGGCGCGCCGGGGGGAGGGTAGGGCGCGGAGGAGGGGGGCGGGTAGTCGGCAGGATAGCCGGCGGGTGGGGGCGGTGCAGACGCCGCTGGTGCAGGTGCTGCGGCAGGGACGATGGCTGTTGCTGGCTCGGGGGCGGCCGCAGGAGCGCTGGGAGCAGCTGCCGCGGCTGGAGCCGGGGCAGGCGCCACCGCCGCCTTGGCGTCCGCAGCTGGCGTGTCTGCAGCCGTCACCGGCTTGCTGAAACCCATCTTCTCCAGGGAGTTGCGGATCTTGCGGACCTGCAGGCGGGAGGAGGGAGGGAGGGAGGGAGGGAGGGAGGGAGGGAGGGAGGCGAAGAGGTCTGTAAGGCCGTGGAGGCAGCAGCATCACCTCTTCTGCCTGGCCGGCATCCGTAACCCAGCTGCAGACTGCCGCACTGGAGCCCGCTTTCGCGGCGGTTGCCCACCTGTAAGGGTTTACAACCCAGCTCCTTCATCAAGTCCTCGTCGCTGAGCTCGAGCAGGTCTGCAGTTGGGCGGCGGCGGGCGCGCGGGCGGGCGGCGGAATGCAGCGGTCGGTAGCGGTGAGGCGCGTGTTGCCTGTCGGCTTGTGGGTCCGATCCCTTGCCGCAGCGCAACACAAACGACACTTCCGGAATGCTGTCACGACAACGGTGTTGCCCCGCGGCCCGGATGGTCTCACCTGCGCCTGCAATCGCGTTGTCCTTGAAGGCCGCTGCGACATATTCAGGGAGTCCCAGAGTCGTTATCCAGGTGCACACCTCGCCAACAGACCACTGGGAGGGACCGGCATCTGGCATGGTGTTGCTGCGGTGTGTGGGTGGGTGCTGCTGCGGGGTTGGAATGCGGCTAGATTGATTGCAAAAGGTGTGTAGTCGGTGAGCAGATGGCAATCACGGATGTGGGCGGGGTTAAATACAGGTCCAGCAGCTGGTGCTCCAGGCCCTTCGTGGAACCGCCCGCGGCCCGGGGAACATGTGGGGAACCTGTGATAGCAGCGGCAGTCCCAGCTGCGCGCCGTGAGCATTGCAGAGGGAGGACGCGGAGTGTGGCACCGGCGGGCGGGAGCGCAGCCGCCGCCATGCATCCCTCCTGCCGGTCACCTAGCAGCACGTGCCACTGCTGCCATGACGCCGCCCAAGCGATGCCAGCTGGATGTCGCAAACAATAAATCAACCAACTAACACCATTGATATTGAGCGCCGCCGGCAAAGAGAGGAGAAGGCATGCACAAAGGAGGACGTAGAGATGCGCAGATGCATAGGCGTCGATCGTTTGGGTGATGGGTAATCGAATCAAGGATAAAGAGGCACCAACATGTTGCCTGCACGCGTATGTGTCCGGGCACACAAAAACATGCGCGGCAGCGCGGACGCAGTTGTCGCTAACAGAACCTGGCTCGAGCTGGCGAGCGGCGGCCCGCTGCTGCCCGAGCTGACGGCCAGGGTGGCTCCCTGCCTTCCTGCCCGGCCATCTGTGCATGCTCGCTGCTCCTCAGTTGTTGGCGGCGAACATCATGCCGCTGCAGGCAGCAGGGGATACGGAGTCGGGCATGCTGGTTTGGCTTCCAACAGCCAAATCAAGCAGGCAAGCTGCGGGCACGCTGCAGCAGCGCCTCGCCAACAGGCGGGCACGAAGCAAGGCCTCATCCTGCAGACAGGCACAAGCAGCGCTGCATGGTGGCCGCATGGTATGGCATGGCCTTCCCTCTCACCGCCGCATCTGTTTGTTATTGCGATGGGCCATCAGCACCACCGCTGCTGCCGCCTTGTTGGGCCCCTGCTTCTGAGGTGGCGGCGCCTCGGCGGCGGCGGCGGGCGCTGCAGGCAGGGGCGCGGCAGCATGCGTGCGCCAGCGGCGGGGATGGTCAGGCGCGGCAGCCACAGCCACGGGCGGTGTGCTCCCAGGCCAGGCAGCAGGCCAGCCCGGGAGCCACCCCAGGCAGCTTGGCGCCCGGGGCTGAGAGAAGGGTAGTGAGGTATGTGCGCTGGCGGCTCCAGAGCACAGGCATTCGCTCCCCGCTCACCGGGGTATGGGTATGCAGGAGGCGGCGCGCCGCTGGGTGCCACCTCGCCGGCTGGCGGCGGGTAGCCGGCGGTCGGGTAGCCGGCGGGGGGCGCCGCGGCGGCGGGCACCACCGCGGCGGCAATTGGCGCCGCGGCTGCCGGGGCCGGCGCCGCCACCGGCACCGCAGGCTCGGCGGCGGGCTGCTGCATAACAGCGCTGCCAGAGGGTGTGCGGTGGAACCCCATCTTCTCCAGAGCATGGCGAATCTTGCGGGCCTGAGCAGGCGGGAGGGAGGGAGACGGCGGTGTTTCAGAGACTCCAGGCGGCGGCATGTAAGCCTGGCAGGCGCCTCGGCTAGGCTTCACCTGCAGCGGCTTGCAGCCCAGCTCCTGCTTTAGGTCCTCATCGCTCAGCTCCAGCAGATCTGCAGGGCAGAGTGGCAGGCATAGAAAGGTACAGGATATGCAGGAGCAGAGTGGGCGAGCTGCGGCGGCGAGCGGCGAGCGGGTTGGGAGATGTGTGGCGGAAGCACCGCCGGCTGGCTTGTCTGCGCATGTGTCGAGTGCGGAGGCTGTTAACTGAGGCTGCGGCCCGGACCGTGAGGGAGCACTCGCTAGGGTTGGTGTCAGGACCTCCTCAGCCTGCCTCTCCCAACCCCTGCCAAGCACCGCTGCAGAGATCGCGCTATGATGCTCACCAGGCCCAGCAACCGCGTTGTCCTTGAACGCGGCGACAACGCCCTCGGGCAGTTCCAAATCGTCCTTGAGCCAGGCAGCGACATCCGCCACAGACCACTCGGAGGGCCCCAGAGCTGGCATGGTGTCGACTGCAGCGACTGCAACGGCGGGGGCAGGTATGTACGGGCCTCCAGACGCGTCGCGCACAGCAGGGTTGGCGGCACCGGCGGCTTGCCGCCTGCAGCCCTCAGGGGCTGTTTTGTTTCAATCCCACAAGCCATGTACCCCACAATGAGGGACTTGTACCCAGTCTTTGACCTTGCCACAGGTCAGCCGTGAATGCGGCGCTCGGTTGCGGCCGGCCGTGTTCGGCGTTTGCTGAGCAGGAAATGCAACGAACTAAATCAAGGCCTGGTGTTTAGAGCGGGCATATCCTCAGAATACAGGATAAGTGAAGACACGCGGGACGCGTGGTTTTGTGCCTCACCCTGCCGCAACCGCATTGCGGCGGCAACACGGCACCACCCGACGCAGGACGGGACGCGGTACACATCCCATTCAATCACACGCAGGGCGGGATGACGAGCTCGGCCATCGGAGGCGCCTCTGCGATCTCCTGGGCAGGCTTTCCGGCGTAGGCAGCCTCACCGCGCTCGAGGCGCGACCCATCGCCCATTTCAGAGCAAGACGCTTGCTCTGACGCCTCTCTCGCTGCGTAGAGCATCATGGCGAATGTGGTATCGGCGGTGGCGGCCGCGGAGCAGGAGTTCCGCGCCTGCGCCGCCTTGCGAGAGGGCGGCACCAGCCCGCAGGCGCAGGCGGCGGCGGCGCAGGCCGCCAAGCTCTACGGCGCGGCCCTCAAGGCCCTGCACCGCTTCGGCGCCACCAGCCGGCGCTTCTGGGAGTCTATCGAGGCGAGCCTTCACTGCTGCTGCGTGCACGGCGCTCGGCACCGCCGCCGCCCACCGCAGCCGGTCGTGCCACCACAACCCCGCAGCCCTTCCCCATAGGCCTTTGTACCTCTGGCTCTGCCCCGCTCTGCAGGCTGTGTCCCTGGCTCTGGACACCATCCTGCACACCTACCCCGGGGATGCAGACTACTACTTCAACGCGGCCCAGTTTGAGGAGCTGGTGCTGCCGGCGCTGCTCGCCATCGGCACCGGCGTGGGCGTCAACCCGCGCGGGGGGCCGCAGCTCATCGCCCAGATGGCCGTGGTGAGACCTCCCTCCCTTCTTTCCTCCTCCCTTCTTTCCTCCTTCCTTCTTTCCTCCCCTGTGCCGTCGTGGCCGCCGTGACGTAGCAGGGGGGGCAGGCAGGCGACCGTGCATCGCATGCACCTGCCAGCCAGCCCGCCTGCCCTCCGTCCCGCTGCCGGTCCGCCTGCGCTCGTGCTGGCGGCGCCGGGGTGCCGGCTCGCCACCCCAGACACACCCACCCCACACGCCCCCGCGCACGCTGCCTCTCGCAGGTGGGCGACTTTGTGCACCACTCGCATTGCGAGGCGCTTCCCCGAGAGCTGCTGGATGCGGCGGCGGGGGAGCTGTGCCGCGTGCTGGGCCTGCTGTTGGGCTCAGACCCGGAGGTCCTGTACTGCACGCTCAGCGCCCTGGGCACGGTGCGGCGCGGCGCCCGCTGCCGGGGGGATGCCAGTGGCCGGCGGCGCGCGGGCTGCAGCCGCTTGCTGCCCCGGAACGCACCCTGGAGTGCCCAGCAGCCCACCCCTTCAGATTCCGCTGCCGCGCCACGCGCCGCGCCGCGCCGCGGCAGCCAGCGCTTGCCGCAGGGCTTGCTGGCAGCCCGCCCGCGCCTCCCTCCCTCTTCCGCGCATCCGCAGCCCAGCGCCCCATCCCTCTCCGCCCCTGCCGTACTGCCTCTTCAGCTGATGTACAACGAAACCCGGCGGGACCGTTCTGGCGGAGAGGACTACACGCGCCACGTGCCGCTGGCGGTAGCTGCCGACCTGGCGCGGCGCGGCGCCCTCAAGCCCGCGCTGCTGATGCTGGAAAGGACGGCGGACGTGCACGCCGACATGTTTGGCGGGGTGGGGGACGGCAGGTGAGGCGCCTTCCCCGCGAGCCCTGCCCCGCCCTGCCTGCCATGTGTCCTCCCGACTCCCCGCGCATGGCCGACAGCCTCGCACTGCGGGCACCCGGCGCTTCTCGCCCTGCTCCCCCTCTTCACACACGCACCACCACCTGCATCCCCGCTTGCCCACTTACGTCACAACTTCCTGCACCTAACGCGCTTCGCTTGCCCACCTGCCTCGCTTGCCCACTCCGGCGGGCCTGCAGCCACCTTCAGCCCGCCCCCTTTGCTTGCCCACCTGCCTGCCTTGCCCACCCGCCTGCAGCGCCTTCTCGCACATATTGATGATGGCGCAGAGCATGGTGGCTGGGCTGCTGGTCACCGGCGACGTGGCGGCAGCGCAGCGCTGGGGCCGCTGGGTGGCGCGCCGCCCCGCCGCCGTCGCCATGCTGCTGGACGGGGTGGTCGACCCTCGGGGCGAGGTGGGCGCCGCGGTGCCGCTGCCGCGGCCGGTGCCGGGGCTGGGGCTGCTGCTGCTGCTGCTGGTTGCTGCTCCCGCCTGGCGCTCCTGCTTGGTGCTGGCGCTGCCGCTGCCGCCGTTTCTTGCTTGTTGTTGTTGTTTGGGGCTGCTTTACCACGCCCCAGCACGATGTCTTCCCCCAACGCGACGTCTTCCCCATCCACCCGTCGCCCACCCTCCCGCGCGCGACCCCTCCCCGCGCCTGCAGCAAGCCACGATCGACGTGCTGAGCTGCCTGCGGCTGGCGGGGCGGCTGGCCAGCGTGTGCCCGGAGCTGCTTGAGAAGCTGGATGCCGGCGGGTTCAGGGCCCGCGTGGAGCGCTTGCGCCGGGCAATGACCTCGTGAGTGCCGCTGGCTGCTGGCCGCCGTCTGCCGCCGCGGGTAGCTGTGCCTGCCTCGCCCTGCATGCCTGCATGTGCATATGCCATGCATGACCCGCGTACTGCTCGGGGAGTCCCGCAGCAGGTACCGTACCGCACAGTGCATGCCTGCATGCCTGCATGGTCGCGTGCATTTGGGGGGGGGGGCACCCGATTGCTTGTCGGCACGAGCCGAGCTAATACAGCGCCCCGCTGCCGCCTGCCGCGCCGCCCGTGTATGCTATGCAGCCCCGTGGACAGCGACGAGGTGGCGGCCTGGCTGCAGCGGCTGTACCAGCCACAGCCGGGGCAGAGCGGGGCGGACTTTCTACCCGACTACGCCCCGGGGCCGCGCCCCGAGGCGCGGCAGGCGCGGCAGGCGGCGCCTCCCACGCGGGAGCAGCTGGCCGGCCTGCCCATACGGGACCTCATGGCTCGCCTGCGTGCGGCGGACCTCGACGCCAACGGCTGCACCGAAAAGGGAGAGCTGGTTGAGTTGCTGGTGGCGCACGGGCAGCAGCGCCAGGCCGCGACGGGCGCAGCGGCGGGCGCAGCGGCAGGCGCGGCGGCCGGGCAGGCCGGGGCCGCGGCGGCGGAGTGCGCGGCTGGCCCGGCGGCGGCGCGGCCCGCGGGGCGCTCCTGCGCCGCCTGCGGTGCCACCAAGGGCCCAGGCGTGCGGCTGCAGAAGTGCGCGGGCTGCCACCAAGTCTACTTCTGCAACACCGCCTGCCAGCGCCAGATGTGGCCTGCGCACAAGGCGGCATGCCAGGCGGAGGCGGCGCGGCGGGCGGCCGCTCGGGAGTAGGCCGGCTGGGGCGCGGGTGGGGCCAGCAGGCGCACGCCTGCATAGAGCCTCCCATCTTGTTGTCTTTGTTGCCTCATCTGTTGTCACTAATTTACGTTCGAGTGCCAAGCCAGTGAGCTCCGACGTGGCGCTCAGTAAGGGCGACGGGGAGCGGACGTGCACAAAAGAATGGCGGCGGTGCGCGCAAGTGGAGCCAAGGCGAGCGCCGGGTGGAGAGGGTCAGCGGGACGGGAACAGTCAGTGCTCAGTGTTGTGTACAGGAAGCGCGATAGGCGAGGAGAGCCGACGGGCTGACGGCACGGCGGGCGGCGAGCGGGTGCAAGACGCATGGTGTCGCAGACTGCCGTGTGCGGCCCGCCACGAAGCGGCGCCAGCCTCAGCCTCATCATCAGCCCCAAGGGTCACGCCTGGGCCGCGCTGTGGTGGCTGAGCAGCCCATCCTCCACCCCCGCCGCCGCAAACGCGGCGGCGCGGCCCCTGCAGGGCTCGCACGCGCCGCATGGCGCGGCGCCGCCCTCTGCGCACGAGTAGGTGAGGTGCCAGGGCGCCGCCACCTGGTGGCCCATGGTAATCACTTGGTGCTTGCGCAGCGCCAGCAGCGGCATCAGCAGCTGGATGGGCGGCTCCAGGGTCTGCGGTAGCAGCAGCGGGGGAGGCGGAGAGTCACATATACATGCAACACACATACTGTGTTCACTGTGTGTGTGTGTTTGTGTGAGTGAGGAGGAGTGAGGGTGGTGACGCAGCGGCGCCAGCTAGTATGGCAGGCCCATGGCAGTGCAAGCGCCACTGTACTGCCTGTGTCACGCATGTACTGCTTGTACTGCACCACGCCCCGCAACTGTACTGCACTACACCGGCCTCACCTCGTACAGGCTCTCGATGTGGTGCAGGAAGGGCAGGGAGGCGGAGGAGTAGACCCCCAGGTCATCCTTGTTCAGGCAGATGGCGATGTTGGCCGCACCAGAGTCCGCTGCAGGGGGTGGAGGGAGAGGGAATATATAGGGACGAGAGGATGAGGACAGGTGGGAGGGCATAATGGAGAGGCTGGGCCGGGATCGCCTCCCGGCAAGCAAGCGGTGGACGAGGCAGGCAGGCAGGCGCTGCGCAACCGGTGTGCCAGGTGGCCGGCGGCAGCATGAACGTTTGCCCTCACCCGCAAAGCTGGCCGCCAGCGACAGCAGCAGCAGGTTGCGGTGGGGCAGGGGGTCGTGGTACCGCCGTCCTGCCTGCAACCGAAGGGGGCAGCGGCGGCGGCAGCAGCAGCAGCAGTGGCTGATCAGCGGCCACGGCTTCAGCAGGGCTGCACCCCTGCCCGGGAGAGCTGCGTCACCACCACCGTGCCCGCACACCCACCGTGGCCATGTTCAGCTGCAAGGGGGAGAGGAGGGAGCGGGGCTGAAGGGTCAGCAGGCCCCCCAGGGCATGTGGGGTGGGTGACCACGCCACAGGTGGCGGGTGGCTGGTGGTGGTGGCGGCGTGGGCAGGTGCGCGTGGCTGGTGATACCAGGCAGGGAAGCGGGTGCTTCTCACCTGATGCGCCACCATGGAAGCGTTGATGGCATTGAAATCGAGCCCCAAGTGGCGGCACATGGCCTGCAGGCGGCGGGATGAGAGCAGGGCCGAGCAGCGGCGATGCGCCGCAGGAGATCGCTTCAGCAGAGGCAGCGATAGCTGTGGCATCGAGGAAGCAGTCGCTGCATGGTTTGCCCTTCCGGGGCTTGCCGCGTGCATCACCAGCTGCAGCGCGGAGCGCCCCAAGCCAGGCAGGAGGCGGCCCACCTGCTGCGCCGCCTCCTCCTGTCGCACGTTCTTCTGCCCATAGTCGATAAACAGCGGCAGCAGGTGCTGGGCGTGGTCCCAGTGCTTCCAGTAGGCCAGCAGCGCCGCAGACTCGATGCCGCCGCTGACCAGCACCACTGTGGAGCCCTGCCGGGAGGGGGGAGCGAACGGGGCCGCGCAGGCCGGCAGGCAGTGGAGCGGCAGCGGTGGTGGCGCGTCTGCTGAGACAGCGGGCCGCAGCGTGCTGGCAGCGCTTGCGCTGCGGCTTGCATGGCTGGCTGCGGCTTCAGCGCACCTGCTTGGGCGCGCTCATGGCAGGCTCATCTAGCATCGAGCCGCTGGCTGTCCTATAGCGGCTGAACCCTCGCCCGCTGACCGCCCGTGCCGCCGCCGCCGCCACAGCGGGTAGCGCCTCCGCGGCGCGCGGCAGGGCATACTGCAGAGCTAAGGACCCCACCCCCTGCGCCAGGCGCAGCATGGCTTTGGGTCGCCAGGAAACGATGAGCCACACGATGAGCCACACTCTCGGGCTCGCTGTTGGTGGCCTGCTGGTGACTTACAATGAGCTTTGCGCTGGAGTCAAATGATCCGACGCCGCTCCGGGGCTGGGTTCCCCCTCCGGCAACCGAAGTACATGATCCCAGCTGGCACTGTCCTGCGGAGACTTCCAGACATCCTGCTTCAAGGGCTGGTGGATCCCGAGTTCCGCAGTGTTCCCAACATCCTCCTCCCCGGCTTGACGCCAGTCTGCAACAGCCCGCAGGCCATCCGCCTTCCCTCCCGATCGCGAAGCTTGGCAGCAGGCCAAACCAGCTCGATGGACGAGCACTTTGAGACTGCGACGGAATTGATGTCCAAGGGTGAGAAGTGCGGCGCCATCACTGGGGCCACCGCCGCTGCCGCCATCTCCCCGAGTGTCCGGAACCCCGGGTGCTGCGCTGCCCGCCCGCCGCCGGCGCTGGCCTTGCTGGCTGCGCCTGGCTGTGCCTGCAGCACCAGCGCACCCTCAAGGACGCCCGGGAGCCGCCGGCAAAGGTCACACGCACTCACCAGCATTGCCGCGTCGCCAACTCCCGCTGCCCCGCCCTTGCACCCCCCCTGCACCCTTGCAGCCGCAGTCGGCGATGGCGCCGATTTCGAGGACGAATTCTCCCAGCCCGACGCCCCCGGCAAGATTGTGCAGATCACGGTAGGTTGCAGCAGCGCAGGGGGACGTGACAGGACGGGAGCAGCCGACTGGATGCCGCGGAAGGGGCCGGCGCCGCCGGTGGCTGAGCAGGGAGGGATTGGGGGATGTGAGACACAGTCCCCCAGGCCGCGGGGAGGGACTGGGGGAGACGAGAGACCGCGAGAGACCGTGCTGCCACCCCGCCCGCGCTGCCTCCTCACGCTGCTGCCGCCGCTGGCGCCACGCGGTGCAGGAAGATGGCGGGGTGAAGAAGGAGGTCCTCCAGCCCGGCACGGGCTGGGAGGAGCCTGAGGCCGGCGACAAAGTGCGGGGTGAGCCTGCCGCCGTGGTGGCCGAGGGTGTTCTGCCTGTTAGTAGCGCTGGCTCGCTGGCCCGGCCAGCCGTGCCTGCCTGCCTGCCTGCCTGCCTGCCTGTTCTCATTTGCCTTCGCCCGCCTCCCTGCCTGCCTGCCTGCCTGCCTGCCTGCCTGCCTGCCCGCCCTCCATCCTCCTCTGCCCACCCTCCAACCTGCTTCACCCGTCCGCCCGCAGTCCACTATGTGGGCACCCTGGAGGACGGCACCAAGTTCGATTCCTCGCGGGACCGGGACGAGCCCTTTGAGTTTGACCTGGGGCAGGGCAGCGTGATCAAGGGGTGGGACCTGGGTGTGGCCACGATGAAGAAGGGGGAGGTGAGGAGGAGGCCCTCCGGCCCTGCCACATGCCTGTGGCTGTATGTCCTCCTCTCCTTGCCCCCGCTGCGCCCGCTGCGCCCGCTGCGCCTGCCGGGCCTGGCTGGGCGCCCGGCGCGGCGAGCACGCGCTCCTCCGCTGCGCTGCGCTGCGAATGGCTGGCCGCCACCTCATCATTTCAGATCATCTTGGATTTAGAGTCATCTTGGAAGGTACCCACCTCTCCCCTCCCTGCCCCGCTTTCCTCCCGTCGCAGGTCTCCAAGCTGACCATCACAGCCGAGTACGGCTACGGCGCCAGCGGCTCGCCGCCCACCATCCCCGGCGGCGCCACCCTGGTGAGATGGGCTGGGGAGAGCCCGCGGGAGGGAGTTCAGCCTGCGGCTGCCGGGCAGGCTGCGCCCCTGCCACCTGCGCGCGGCCTGCCCCGGACCCAGCCTCGGGCCCTGCCTGCCTCCTGCCCAGGCCTGACCCTGCGCCTCCTGCCTGCCTCCTCCCTTCCTGCCCGGGTCCTTTCTTCCCGTCCCTCCCAGATTTTCGAGGTGGAGCTCCTGGATTGGAAGAGCGTCAAGGACATTGCCGGGGACGGCGGCGTGATCAAGACGGTGGTCCAGGAGGGAGCGGGGTGGGCCAAGCCGCAGGCACGGGATGAGGTGTGCGTGAGGTGGGTGCGCCGCGCCGCGCCGCGCCTGCTACGGGGCGCTGAGCCTGCCGCGCTTCGCTGCCCCTGCTGCGCCACCCCGTGCTGCGCTGTTTCACGCTGGGCCGGGGCTGTCCGCTGGCTGCCTTGCGGGCGCCCCCCCCCCTTTGCCCGCCCACCCGCCGGTGCCACCCCCGCTCGCGGCCCCACGCCGCCACGCTGCTCACGCCTTCGCCGCCTTCTGCTGCTGCTGTGTGCCTGCAGGTTCAGCGCCAGGGTGCAGGGCGCAGACGCCCCCTTCTACTCCACCCCCGAGGAGGGCGAGGAGTTTTGCCTCACCGACACCCACTTTTGCCGCGCCATCGGCACAGGTGGGTGGCCGGCATGCCTGGCGCCGGCTGTCGGCTGCCTCGTGCCGGCTGCAGGCTGCCTGCTTCCCTGCAGGCACGCTTGCCTTACACCCTGATTTAGCACCCATCCATTGCGCCAACTGAGTGCCTCGCTGACCTCTGTACTGCCCTGCCCCGACCTGTACTGCTTCAGCCGCGGCAACCATGAAGAAGAATGAGGAGGTGAAGCTAGTGGTGAAGCCAGAGTGTGAGTGCAGCTCCTGCCTCCTGCCTCCCCTGTGCATGCCCGAGCATCGCATGCTGCCGCTGATGCCGACTGGCGCCCTGCCACCGCGAGGCGAGGCGGTCTGGCCAGCCTGCTGCAGCGCCTGCCCTGAGCTCTTACTGCTTTCCTCCTTTTGTGTTTGTTGTGGCGCAGACGGGTTTGGCGCTGATGGCCGGGGCGCCGAGGTGCCACCTGGCGCCACTCTGGAGGTGGACCTCACCCTGCTGGGCTGGAAGAAGGTGGAGAAGGTCACAGGTGGGGCTGCGCTCACCGGCAGCGGGATAGGCCGCACCGCCAAACTTCGAACCTGCCTGTCGGTCCCATGCGGGGACTTTCCAGTTTGGTTGGCGGGTCTGACGGTTGGGTTGTTGCGGCGCTCTTTCCGCCCCACAGATGATGGGCTGGTGATGAAGAAGACGCTGGCGGACACAGAGGACTGGAAGCGCCCAAATGCTGGTGAGGCTGGCGCCGCGGCCGAGCGTAGCGGCCTTCGTCTGTGGCTGGCGCGGCCGCGGCGTAGCGGAGGGAGCTGCCCTGCTGCTTGCATGTGCCCAGGGGCAAAGGCATCCCCACCTAAGGCAAACCGCCCCAAACACAAGCCCCCCCTCCCACACACACACACAAACACACACCGCAACCACACCCAAACACATGGATTCCCATACTCGCCCTCCACAGGCTCCCAGGTGACCCTCACCTACGCCGCCCGCCTGCCCGACGGCACCGTGTTTGACGAGCGCACAGCAGACGCGCCGCTGCAGTTCACCACAGACGAAGGTACGGGGTGCCGGGGGTGCCGGGGGCCGCTTCTGTCGCTGCCGCCGCCAGCCTGGCCTCTGCCCCTGCCCGGGCGCCCCTCATCGAGAGCGCATTCGTTGTGGGGGGGAAAGAGCGGGGCTA